CCATTGATTCACGGGGGGAGTAGTTCTGTGCTTCAGCTGCCCCTGCCTGTGACTTGGGGATAATAAAACCTGCTCCCCCCCCCCCCCCCCCCCCCGGTGAGGGTCTTGCCAGCGCTGGGGGCGGGGGGCAGGGCATGTGAACCGACCCTCACCCTGGGCGCGGCTGTTGTCTGCTCGGCAGCATGGACAAGGACGGCACCATGACCATCGACTGGCACGAGTGGAGAGACCACTTCATCCTCAACCCGCTGGAGAACATGGAGGAGGTCGTCCACTATTGGAAGCACTCCACGGTGAGGAGGGGCTAGAGCCAGTCCCTGGCCGGGAGCCCAGACTCTGCTTCCCAGCTGGGAGCTCCCGGCCGGTCCCTGGAGACCCCCAGGTACCCCTCACCGCCCACCAGGGGCTCTCACTGCCCAGCCAATGCGCTCCATCAATGGGCCGGATCCTATCTCCACCGGGCACTAGGCCGAGACCCCCGGCTCGTGTCACCAACCCGAGGGCGCCTGGCTGGGCTGGAATAGGACCAGCAACCCGGATCCCAGCAGTTGGAGGGACAGGAGAGGGGCTGGGAATCCGGACTGCCGGGTTTATTCCGGGCTCTGGGAGGGGAGTGGGGTCTAGTGGTTAGAGCAGGGGGGCTGGGAGCCAGGACTCCTGGGTTCTCTCCCCAGCTCTGGGAGGGAAGTGTGGTCTAGTGGTTAGGGCAGGGGGCTGGGAGCCAGGACTCCTGGGTTCTCTCCCCAGCTCTGGGAGGGGTGTGGGGTCTAGTGGCTAGAGCGGGGAGTCGGGAATGGGGACTTATGGGTTCTGTTTGCGGCTCTGTGAGGGGCATGGGGTCTAGTGAGTTAGGGCAAGGTGGGGTGGAGGGGTCGGTGGCAGTCAGGACTCCTGGGTTCTATTCCTGCCACCAAGGTGCTGAGCGGTCTCCTTGCTCTGGGTTCTGTCCGCGGCAGAGGGGACCACAAAGCAGCTCAGTGACTCAGACCAAGCAGCCCCCCTACCCCCACCTCCTCCCCCGGGGACCTAACCCATCCCTTTGCCCGATCCCAGGGGAAAAGGGGGCAACAGCCCCCTTCTTAGCAGGTGCCCGGAGGCCAGGGCAGCTGAGAGGAGGCCAGGGCCATTTCTCTGCTGGGCTAATCTCAGCTGGTGAGCAGCAAACAGGCTGAGATATATTTAACTCTGATTTATGAGCTGTGGAGAGGAGGGGATCGCTCCAGCGTTGGAGCTGAAGGCTGGGACTCAGGATTCCTCGGTTCTATCTCCAGCTCCAGGAGAGGAGTGGAGTTACAGCGGGGGGCTGGGAATCAGGACTCCTGGGTTCTATTCCTTGGCTTCGGGAGCTGAGGAGTGGAGTCCAGTGGTTACAGCAGGGGGGGGCTGGGAGTCAGGACTCCTGGGTATTTTTTCTTGACCTCGGGCAAGTCCCTGCCCCGCCCCGTGCCTCAGTTTCCCCCACCCCATAAAGGCAAGCGGCAGGATGAGCTAGAGGGCAAAGCTCTGTCCAAGTCCCTCCCCCACCGCAGAGTCCCCTAATCTCATTAGAGGGATTTCTAGGAGGCTTTATTGCCTGCCCTGCCCTCCACATCCACTCTCACCTTCCTCCGCTCGCCCTGCCATGGAGGAACCTTCCTCAGCTGCACGGGATCCGGCTGGTGCGTGCCGCACCGTGATCCACAGGGCCGCTCTCGGGGGGCTCCCGGTGCTGGCCGGGCTGTGGGAGGCTGAGCAGAGATGCCCCCGGGGCTTGGAGTCTATCCTGGGGGATCCCCAACGGGTAGGACATTCACCCGCAACTCGTCCATCCCCCACTTCCTGCCAGCTGGACTCATTAAACAGCGCCTGCGTGCTGGGAGGCAGGACTCCTGGGTTCCCAGCTCTAGGAGGGGAGTGGGTCTCGTGGTTAGAGCAGGGGGAGGGAGGAGGGGGGGGCTGAGAGCCAGGACTCCTGGGTTCCATCCCTGGCTCTGGGAGGGGAGTGGGGTCTAGGGGGTTAGAGCAGGGGGACTGGAAGCCAGGACTCCTGGGTTCCATCCCTGGCTCTGGCAGGGAAGTGGGGTCTAGGGGGTTAGAGCAGGAAGAGGTTAGCATTCAGGATTCTATTCCCAGCTCCGCCACTGTCTCCATGTGCGATGCTGGCCAGGTCCCTTCCCCGCTCTGTGCCTCAGTTTCCCCATCTATAATGGCGACGATCCCCTACCTTTGCGAGGCGCTTGGCAATCCGCCTGAGCAGGGGACTCAGTCAATAGGAAGCCGTGTTATTAGGGCTCCAGGCTGCCACAGGGGCATCTCAGGGGCTTTGCGCACCTGAATTTTTAATGCTACCGGAGGCGGGCTCCGGACCCGTTGCTGCATGGCTCTCGGCGTTCGTGGGCTCCCTCGGCATGTGGGCCCAACGGGTGGTGCCCGAAGGAGACTCCTGGCACGCGGCAATAGAAATGGCTTAAATCCTAATTCTGGCTCCCCCAAGAGAGGAGCAGCCTGGCTCTGTATGTAGGCTACTAGTCAGTGCCTGGTTTTGGGGTCCAGTAGCATGGGGGAGGAAGCCAATGGCCATTTCCTGCTGCTCAGAGGTGCCAAGCCCCTGTAACTCAGCCGGAGCTCAGATTCCCTGGCCCCCCCGGGCCCCCCAGCTGCAGGTGGCTTCCCGTCGGCAGTGAGTTGGCTCCCAAAGGGCCTGTGGGTGGCTGCAAGGGGGAGCTGACTCTGAGCCAGGGCAAGGAGGTGATTCCCCTTGGGGGGGGCCAGTAACTGCCCGCGGAAGGGGGAGTGCCAGGGTGGGGATAGGCTCTGGGGGTCCGTCAATAGCGGCCTGGTAGCCCCTGTTATCAGAGCGCCCCCCCCCCCCTGCCCCGCTCGCTCGCCTCCCTGGGGGCGTGAGACGTGACGACCGGCTGAGCTAAATTAAACCCAACCTTGGACAAGCCGCAAGGCTAGTGTGAGGCCGGATTAGGTGATGGTGTCGGGGGTGGGGGGAGAATTTCCCTCTAGGGGGCCGGGTGCTGATCCAGCCCCAGGGCCGGAGGGTGGGGGACTGGCTGGCTCAGGGGGGGCAAGGAATGGGCCATGGGGCGTTTCCCCTCTAGGGGGCGCTGGCTCCAGGCTGTGGTACCCAAACACCATCCCCTGCCGTTGGCCTGCCCGTAAGGAGGTGCTTGGTTCTCAGCCCAATCCCCAGCTGAGGGAACGTGTCGCCCTCACATGGCATCAGCCCAGCGCTAGCTGCCGTGCCGGGGACCAGCCTGCTCTCCCCTGCGGGCACCTCCGTGCTGAATTGTACACGGCCTGGCAGCAAGAGCCCTGGGCAGGGACTCGGGACACCTGGGTTCCGTTCCTGGCTCTACCTACTTGGGCAAATAAACCTCTGTGCCTCAGTTTCCCCATCTGTCAAAGGAGGGTCAATGTTACTGATTTCCCTTGTGAAGCGCTTTGAGGTCGGCTGCTAACAGCCAGTGGGAACTGTTCTTCGGGTGTTTCCTTCCAGGGCTTTGCACGGCCCTTGGGGTTCTGGTTCTGATCCGCTCGTCTCTCCCGGCAGGTCCTGGACATCGGCGAGTGCCTGACGGTCCCTGACGAATTCTCCGAGAAGGAGAAGAGGACGGGGATGTGGTGGAAGCAGCTGCTCGCGGGCGCCATGGCTGGGGCCGTCTCCAGAACGGGAACCGCCCCGCTGGACCGGCTTAAAGTTTTCATGCAGGTAAGTAAAAAAAGGCTCCCAACCTATTGCCCAGGCCGGGGCTATAGGGAAGTGGGCGTTATGCACCTGAATAGCCTGGCCCTGCAGTCACACCCATGGGCATGGGCAGGGGTGGAATGGAGCAGCCGCTGGGCATTGGTACAGCACGGCACAGCTGATGGCTGCCCCCCCAGGGGTGCCACAAATGCACCCCATAATTCTGCATGCAGTTCTGGGGCACCCCATCCCCAAAAGGACGTTGCAGAAGGAGAGGGGGTTTGGAGATGGGCAGTGAGACCGATCGAGGGCCTCACCCCAGAGGTGGCTGCATTTCAGCACTGAATGTGCAGGCTCGGTGCAACATTGCTGTGCAGGTGTTCACCAGCTGCCGGGCGCCACCCCAGAGGTGGCTGCATTCCGCGAGGCCGGGGTTTCTAACCAGGCTGGGCATCCAGCCCCTCCAAGGCAGGGCACCCTCCCCGGGCACTCATGCTGCCGCATCTCCGGCGCAGGTTCACGCCTCCAAGACCAACAACATGAACGTGTTTGGGGGGCTGAAGGGCATGATCCAGGAGGGGGGCGTCCGCTCCCTCTGGCGCGGCAACGGGGTCAATGTGCTGAAGATCGCGCCTGAGTCTGCCATCAAGTTCATGGCCTATGAGCAGGTGGGTGCCGGGGGCACGGAGCCCCGGGGGAGGGGCGGGGGGGAGGAGTACAGATACAGGGATGTCAGGGTGTCTCCACTCCCCTCCTCGAGCTAGGGAGAGAACCCAGGAGTCCTGAGTCCCAACCCCCCTAGTCTAACCCACTAGACCCCACTCCTGTCCCAGAGCTGGGGACAGAACCCAGAAGTCCTGGCTCACGGTCCTATCCCCAAATGCAGACTGCTTCCCCCCTCCCCCAGAATATCTTTCCTGTGGGACTACAGCCTGGGACCCCATGGTACGACCCAGCCCCTGCCTTTGCCCACTAAAAGGTGGGGCGGGGATCGCAAACTGGAAAATGCCTTCTAGGCACAGGCGATTGATCTGCTGTTTCTCATCCCAGATCAAGCGGGCGATTCGTGGGCAGCAGGAGACGCTGCGGGTGCAAGAAAGGTTTGTGGCCGGCTCACTGGCCGGTGCCACTGCTCAGACAATCATCTACCCCATGGAGGTAAGCCCCCCACCCTCCCCCATGGACACTGAGCCACCTCTAGGGGGCACCAATCCAGGGTTTGCATCCAGCGCGGTAGCTACAGCCCGGCCTCCTTGAAAGCTCCCCTGTCCTGTATGAAAGCAGGGACTTTGGGGTGTTATCAGAGGTTAAGGCATGGGCCTGCCATTCAAGAGACCTGAATTCAGGTCCCAGCTCTGCTACTGACTGCCTGTGTGACCTTGGGCATGTCCCTCAGCCTCCTTGCCTCGGTTTCCCTAGCGGTACAATGGGGATAATAGCAGCATGAACAATGAGGGCACTAAAGATTGGGAAAGGTCAGAGACTGCAGTAATGGGATAAGTACCCGCTCGCTGCGAGGGACTTGGTAGGGGGCGCTCTCTCTCGGACTAGGCACTAGAGAGTTCTGTACTGCGGGGGAGCGGGTGCTCTGAGCCAGTGCCGATCCAGATGTGGCACTAGGCGGGGCTATTGCTCAGTAGGGGGCGCTCTCTCCTCACAGTCAGTGCAGCACTAGGGGGCGCTGTGCTGCAGGGTGAGGGGCTCAGGAGGGGGCGCTCTCCCCTTGCAATCAGGGCTGGTCCCAACGCCCAGCGTGACGCCCCGGGGGAAATGTGCCTTTCACATGAGCTGAACGACCTCAGGCTTGCGTGCTCATGATCATTAAAGAGCCCTTGTAGGAATGGCTATCGGGACATTAGCACCAGTGCCCAGGCCAAATCCCAACTCGAGAAATGCCGTTCTCTCTCCCTCAGTCCTTCCGGTGATTCCTTATTTCAATCCTAAGCTGCTCTGTCAAACAGTTTTTCTGCCCCACCCCAGAGGTAGCTGCATTTCAGTATTGGGTGCGCCCGTGCTATGTGGTTGCTAGTCAGTGGTCGTGCCCTACCCCAGAGGTGGCTGCTTTTCAGTACCGGCTGAGCCATTGCTACGCTGCTAGTCCGTGGCTCTGCCCCACCCCACAGGCAGCTGCATTTGAGTGGCGGGCAAGGGCCCCTTGCCATTCTCACGATCCTGAATGAATCCGTTCCCCCAGGTGCTGAAGACCCGGCTGACCCTGCGGAAGACGGGTCAGTACTCGGGGGTGGCCGACTGCGCTAAGAAGATCCTGCAGAAGGAGGGAATCCGGGCCTTTTACAAGGGCTACCTGCCCAACGTACTGGGCATCATCCCCTACGCCGGCATCGACCTGGCTATCTACGAGGTCAGGGCCCGCGGGGGCACAGGCCTGCAAATGAGGTGGAGGGGGTGGAGCCTGTTTGCCGATAGGCTCCTCCCCCACCGTTGGGTGTAGGGGTCTGAGAGCTGAAAATGGGCATACTTGTCACATGCTGGAGTCCTGACTTCCAGCCCCCACCCCCCGCTCGAACCACTAGACCCCCCTCCCCTCCCAGAGCTAGGGGTGGAACCCAGGAGTCCTGGCTCCCAG